ATAACATCCATTTAATATTGGAGAAATACTGTTATTTTTGAGGTTTCTAATGTGATGTCGTAAATAATTACATTTTTCCGCTTACATTGCAAACGCAGGCTGAATCCTACAAGATTTATCAAAATAAGTATTGTACACATTGAAAATGTCTACAGAAAACTCCACGGTGGTATATATTATGTCTATCTGTTTTGGATATCCCACAATGAAAAAATTTGTCATTTACTTTTTACGACAAAATATAATGGCTAATTTTCGAAGCGATTTTAACCATTTTACTTTATTTTTTTCGATGAATATTGTATAAGCTGGAGGACCTATACCCAAGATAGGGTTCGAACCCTAAAGACCCAACCAAATACTGAAAGTTATACATTCCTAATTCAATTGATTATTATATATTCTTGTATTGTGTTGTAAATATCTGTTTTTACAAGGATGGAAATACAATATAGGTATATTAATAATAAATAATAAGATTTTTATAGGCGAACTCTGCCTAATGATACTGTAGACACCTTGTTGTAGAGCATGAAGATCATTTAATTCCGCTATTCCTGAGTCTTCGTTTATTTCAGTGGTGAGGCTTAGACAAACCCTAGATAGGTTAGCGAAACAATAATTGTGAATATATTAGCAGGAACAGACGGTTGATCGCCTAAATTTTTTTTTTTTTAACGATTAAAGGGAAAGGTAAACAATGTATTATCCCATTACTAACAATGATATTATGTTATTATCTTGTCTTGAACATATCGAATTAATGCGAGCCTTATTTTCATACCAATTTTCTTTTTATTTTAAAATATAATTTAATAGGCAAAAGGGAAACGTAAAAGTTTACAACAAACATTATTTAGATACGTGTGTCTCGGTAAGTTCTTTGTGGTTAAGTAAAATCTAAGTTTGTTGAGCGAAATTCTTATATTGCTGTTTTGAAGTACGTGATGTCGTAAACAAAACAATTAAAGTGGAGAATAAGACCATGGAACCCACGAGAATAGTGAGAGCATGAGATTTCTAATGTATTACGCAAAATAAAATATGCTAATTAATCGTTTTCATTTTAAATCAGCTTCAACCACTGGTTGCTGTCATCGTCGGCACTCTTGTGTCTATAAATAAGACAATTCGAATTTCGATTGCTATTGTTAAATTCATAAAACAACAGAAAATTAATTTCCTCGCCACGTCACCGTCACCTTATGACTCTCCAACGGATATTGACTTTAATTTTCCGTTCTGTTGACGTTTCCATTGATATCCTCCGCTAACACTAGAAATGGGCCTCGCTTTTTCAAATAACAAACTGGAGGTGCCATCAATCGTCCCGTCACTCATTTGAAATGAGTCATTTCCACTTCCGTGAAATATTATCTTTGGGTAATACCTATCCGAACTATTTGGACAAGAACAATCTTTCATTCTTATTATTTTTCCATTGTAAATAGCCGAGGGTCGTATGATTTTGTTTGTAAGCAAATTTGGGCTTGGCGCTTCAGGGTGGCTGCTGTTTCAATGGTAAGTAAATGTTAGTGATTGATGAGATATTTTCGCGGATAAACATAGATGAATATATAAATGTACATCAATTGGATGAATGTTTCTATGTCCTGTCATTACATTTATTCTTTTACTGTAAGGTAAAAAAAATATCGTGAACATCAAGTAACATTTGTCTTTGATCCAAAAATATATATGAACGGCGCAGAAGGCCTATGCCCGAAGTACTTGTGAATATAAAGAACACGAATAAATATTCTTTAACAAATGTCAAAGGCTAATGACGAATAATAAAAAAAACATTAAAACAGGACTAAGGGCATAGGGCCACGATAAAATGTTTATGCGCGCCATCTATCAACTTAGGAACAAACCAAATTCTTTGCTTTGTAGCAGTGTTTGTGCTTATGTAGCAGTACAAAAGAAATAAACTAGAGGGCGCGGAAAAGAATATATTATGATATATCGAATATTAATATCTTTTAATAATTGGTGTATTTAAACTAATATATAATAAATTAATAGTTTTTACTTTAAATAATTAGCTTTTAAATTATGCTAGTTATTTCAAATTGACATAAAAACTAAAACCAACATTATTATAGACGTATAAATCTGACTGTTTAAGTTTTGCTACCAATGTCATAACTCAAAACTATATTAAACTTTAGCGTAGGGATGTGACATTCTGCATAAAAAATCGATTTTATATTAATCGATTGTTTTTTTAGCATGAAAAATCGATTAATAAATAATCGATTTTTTTACCAGACCCAGCCAGGTATAGAACCCTATCTAAAGCACCTGGAAAGGACGGTGAATGAGCTCAAGAGTAGAATAGTCCTAGGGGGTGATGCAAACGCTAAAAGTCCGTGGTGGGGAAGCCTAATAGACAATAGAGGACAAGCCTTCGGAAGTCTGGTAACTGAGCTTGGTATGCACATACTGAATGATGGGCAGCAACCAAATCGAGTCAAGAATGTTAGATGTTCTGGGTTTCATAAAAAAAAGTTGAGCTAAGGTAAGAACTTTTTCAAATTGAAAGCCTTAGGTAGGTATGTTATATAAAAAGTTGTGGGCAATAGCAAAAATATTTGCATGAATTAATAACAAAAACATTTAAAAAGGACATTTAGGTTTCACCTTAAAAAATATTACTAAATGTTGAATTTTTAGCAAAACTATTTATATCTATTAATATGGAAGTTTTGTTAGTCTTTAACAATTACATTCTTCTATAATTATATTATGTTTTAGATGCTGTTCCTCTCTGGTGTGGGTGACGCCATTCTTCTGCAGTTAAAAGAACGTAAAAAAGTAATTCAGAAAGAAAAATAATAATAAATATACACTTCTGGACACATCTATTGGCCCACCTTGCATTTTCAGTTTCTTATGGTCCTACCTAAAAATTTATATTAGGTCGAGTAAAAAGTTTTCATGCAGTTTTGAACCTGGTACATGCATAATTGCATTCAATATTTTTTTTTTAATTTCGAACACAGAATTTAAAGAAACAAAACACAATTTCGAGCCTGCTCATTGATATCAAACAATCGAATACTAAGAAAACTTGATTTTATTGGTTTAGTTGGATTTAATTCTTGAAAGTGTGATTTTTCTCTTTGGTTTTGCAACAAACATTACTTATTCTTAACATTAAGATGAGGTTCTATCAATAATCTATGGATACTTCGCCTGAAGTCGCCGCCCAAGCTGTGGCACTTATCCGGGTCGGACACAGCCAAAGAAATGTGAGTGATCAACTTAATTTATGTCGATCTGCGGTCCGAAACGTTTATCGGAGATACCTAGAGACTGGCGGTTTTGTTCGTCGCCAAGGATAGCCACTATTTCGGGTCACAACTGAACGGCAGGATCGATTCATCGTGACGACCAGCTTGAGAAATCGTCACCTTACCTCCATTGAGATACAAAACCAACTTCGCGACTTCCATGGAGTAAATGTGAGCGCTCGAACTGTTCGGAAAAGATTAAAAGAACGCGATATGGTACCACACAAGCCAGCTAATGGCCCAAAACTAACGCGAGCCTACCGAATAGCGCGCCTTCATTTCGCGCGCTCACACTTAAATTGGACTCAGCAGCATTGGAACGGTGTACTCTTTTCTGATGAGTCTAAAATTGCGTTACATGGCAATGATCGAAGGAAGATGGTTTACCGACGTAAGGGAGAGCGTTTTGCACAATGCTGCTTTGAAGAGAGGGTTGCTTATGGCGGTGGTTCATGGATTGTCTGGGGCGGTATATCCACGAGCGGCAAAACTCAACTTGAGGTTGTTACGGGACCACGGCTGCCAACATTAAATGCTGAAAGATACATTCTTGAGTACTTAGAACCTCACGTGATGCCATACGCGGACTATGTGGGCCCAAATTTCCTTTTTATGCATGATAATGCAAGAGCCCATACGGCCGGCATCGTCAGAGAATATCTTCGGGATGTGAACATCGCAGTTATGCACTGGCCAGCCAGAAGCCCAGATATGAACCCCATTGAGCACATGTGGGATGAGCTAAAAAGACGTGTTAGGGCTCGTCAGCCAGTTGCCCAGACGATGCAGGAATTGAAAACTGCCAAAGAAGAGGAATGGGAGATGATCCCTCAAAATTTCATAGAGCGGTTGATAAACTCTATGCCTAATCGTATGAGAGCTGTCGTAGATGCCCATGGAGGCAACACGCTTCATTAAATTAAACCTTTATTTGATAAAACACGTTTTTTATTCAAAAATCAATGACTTCATCAAGGCGCATACCCGACTTGTTAGGCATATCTCCATGTGGTGTGGTATTCTTAATTCAAATTTAAAACAATACTATCGAAAAAGATGGTAAAATGTATCAGGTTCAAAACTGCATAAAAACTTTTTACTCGACCTAATATAAATTTTTAGGTAGGACCAAAAGAAACTGAAAATGCAAGGTGGGCCAATAGATGTGTCCAGAAATATATAAAATGTGTGACTACAAATCGAATTATTGATATTTTAGTTAAAATAAATTGATTTATTTCAAGTTTATCTAAACTAATAATAAAAAGAGGAAAGTCTTTTTCTTCATAATGGTTCAACTATTCTATTCAATCAATAAAATCATTAACTACCTAAGTACCACTTTTAATAATCAGTGACAACATATTTATGAAAAACAATTTTTTTTATTGAACACACTATCAAGAATATTATAACTGAATTAGCACAGGTGAAATGTAGTAAAATTTCCAAAAACCTGTGAATAGCCTATTAAACTTTAAAAATATTACAATGAACCGCAAAATACCATTATGTACACAACCTAATTATTTAAGCATCTCTAATTTAGTCATTCTTATCTAATTCTGTTGACCACCCGGCTAAACCATATTATAGGAAATTGCCTCATTAACAGGATAATGATGAATTTAAATATATTGTGTTATTTTAACCATATCTGGGCCAGTTTATATATCAAGTTTAGAATAAAACTGTTTGAAAATGGTGAATGTTCAGACTTTAGTATTTTTGGTGTATTGTTTTCAATTTGTAAATGGAGAGGGTATGTGTTTTATTATATTTTGTTAACCTATTTGTACTTTGTTAATATTTTACTAAATAAGTATGGTATATCTCTTAAATAAAATTTATTTTGATATATTCACTTCACTATTACAATTAAGAATTAATTTATAAGAACTAGAACTACTCGATTTCGCACAGCTGGACATAATATTACATTTCATTACAAGCATACATTTTTGTATGCTTATTACACTATTCTCTCTCACCATAGGCATGCTGCATTAACCACGAATTCTAACCTTCACTCATAATTTTAGTATAGATGAATATGGCTTTTTATAACAAATTAATTGCAAGAAACTGTTGCATATTATCATATTATAATACATGATATAATTTGATTTTTGATAGGTCATTTTAATACCAAATAGTTAATATTATTAAACTAAACTACAGACTACCAACTACCTACCTTCTTAAATTATAAGGAGTGCTATCTACATAGTTTTCTTTAAATGCAAACTTAACACATATATTTAAGCATTTAACAGCACATACTATGTGATATTATATATACTGAATAAATATTTTAGCAGTGGAATCCAGCACTGTATCCACTTCAAGTCAAGGGGCTGCGATACCAGATGTAAGTGGAAATGAATTTACAATAATATCTAAAAATTTTAATAAAAATTAATTCAAGTTATTTAAGAATAGTGTAATTGCATGTAATCTTTCAGTATTTACTTATGACAAAGTGGAAATGTTCTGTTACTAAAACCATTATTATGCTTTTTTTTATAGAACAAAACCAACACACAAAGCAAACAGGCAGAAGGTTCATCTGATGTTAAGTGATACCGTCGCTCATAGACAATGCCAGAGGGCTCGTGAGTACGTTGACGGCCTTTTAAGAATTGGTACGCTCTTTTCTTGAAGGACCCTAAGTCAAAGTGGTTCGGAAATACTTCATTGAGCAGCTGGTTCCGCATGGTGGTGGTGCGTGGCAATAACTTCCTTAAAATCGCTCAGTTGTGGAACGACGGACGCATTTATATTAAGTTACCTAATAATTAATTAGCTTATCCTTAATTAATTGAATTCTTTAGGTGCATGAGGGTAAATTTTTTACGGATGAAACGCAGTAATCATAATATTAGCGTCACGAAGATGTGCAGCGTTTTTGTCGAAGAAAAGGGAAAGAGCGATTGAGACCGATTGAGAGAGAGTGAGAAAGGGCGAACGTAGCATGAAGCAAATAGCCATGAAGCGAGAGTAGGGAGCAAGCAAGTAGGAAAGAGAGAGAGTGAGATAGAGTGAACGTCGCATCACGCACAGTGCCATGGAGCGAGAGGTGGGAGAGAGCTATAGTGAGAAAGATTGAGAGAGAGAGTAACGTGTATTCTACACGCTATTGGTTGATGTATTCGTTTAGTAGTTACATATTAGAACTTAAGATGGCAATTCTGTCGCATAACGTCTTGTGCAGTAAACACAGATTTTTATATATTTATATCATCATTAGCACGTATACAGTGTGTAAACATACAAATACATGGAGTGATCATATAGTGGTACATGATCATCTATTGGGGCTTTTACCTTAGTAATAATTAATTTACAAAGAAGTTTCACTTCTGACATGACGTACTTTGTACGCAGGCACTTTTTATTTACTGGGCACCTACTCTTGAAATTCAGTTCTCACTACATCAGGAGCTGGGATATATTATGTTCTTTTTTGTAATATATATATATATATATACTAATTAAGACGCAAAATGGCATGTACTTAATTGTGTAAATCATTGCTGACTTGTTTTCTCTTTTCAGGAATCTCAAGCCCGAACAATATCAGCTGAACTGAGTAAGCTCTATGACATTTATTTTAAGGAAATCTCCTTTATAAAATTCTCACATCCAACAACTATAGAATACTCGACCAGTCTAAACCACGGCCGGCCCAAAAACCCCAGTGACGTCATCGCTGTGATTATTGGTGTCCCTATAACCTATACAACTATAAATGTTTACTATAATATTTTTTCTCACGATATGGCAGATTTAATAAAAATATAATTTAATGGTTTGAAACCCGCCATATTACTACACTAAGGTAAATTGGTGTATTCAGATTTAAATTGATAAATATAAATAAAAAATAATTTGGCTCTGAAACTGAACTTTTTGTTCTAGGAGAATGCGGTTTACGAATAGTAAGTACTAACCATTATAACAATATAATTAAACATTCTTAAATACATATTTTTCTCTGCGTATGTGGTAATGAACCATTATACTCGTGAAACTAGGCTTTTAGAAGTACGAGTATATATACGTACTCGTAATACTCAATACGTATTACAACGAGTACGAATGGGAATGTAAAACAAAAGACGTAACAATTGTGCATTCTGTTCGATTGTGATTGATCAACTATATTGGACCTCATATTTCATTTGATCAATTGCCTTTTTAGTTTTACATTCTCACCACCCTGTATGGATTACGCTAAATAAATGAGAGAATGTGTTAAACATACGCTAGCGAAATATTAGTAAGATGTTGGTAAATAATCTATTTGTTTAGACAGGACCAGGTTTGAAATGGGAGAAAGAGAAAGTTGACGATTGCTCCACAGCGTACGCCGATCCACCAGGTAAGTTATTATAATGAATTTGGATTAAAAAATGATACTTCCTAATTTTAATCCCGTAACCTAGTAATAAGGAAACTTTTAGCTTTGTTATATTTTTAGCTGATCGACTCCAAAACAATCGAACCCGTCCAGGGTCTAATCAAAATACTTATGATCATTGAAACCAAACGAATGCTTTAAATAAAAAATACTCTTTAATAAAGAATTGTACCACAACGAGCGCTTCTGTGGCCGTTGACGTAAAAAGTTAACAATTAAAGTTATGCCCCGACATATCCTCAATTAGGCAAAAAAGGCACACAATTTTCAGTCAGGGATAAGGAAACTATTAATACAGGAACACACAGGTTATACTGATAAAAAATTACACCTTGCCTTAAGTACAAACATAGAGTACACAGCAACTAAACACTCACAAAATAATATACAATTTAAGGCGTTATTAATAAAAATAAATTTCTTTTTTTAACAATTCTAACCAAAAATGCCTACTCTGAAATAATTTATAAAAAATGTGTATATTATTAATATACATTTTGCAATTTATTATAATATTAACCTATTTAATAATTAAGATAAGATACGATGATAGGTAAAGAATTAGACGTTCTTATAACGTTTTAATCGAGATATAAAGAAATAGTAAACTTTCTTAAACTTACACATAATTATTTCAGAGATACCAAAAATAAATGGAGAAGCAGGTGCTCAGGGAAGGCAAGGGTTGATGGGAGAAAAAGGAATACAAGGACCACGTGGATTAGAGGGGGAGAAAGGTGACAAAGGACCGATAGGTGAAGGTGGTAGTGGGGGAGAAAAGGGGGATCGAGGTTCTACAGGACTCAAAGGAGCGAAGGGTGATCAGGTAAGATTAAAAAAAAACATTTAAAGGAAGCGTAGGATCGCCGTTTGAATTTCCGACGGGTCTAGATGAAAATAGAAGGAGCTTTTACTGATTAGTTTAGCTTTTACTTTTGTTAAAAAAGCGCTCTGAGGCGAACGCAGAGCTAGAAAAAATAATCACATTTTTTAAATTTATTATTAAAGATTTTATGAAAACAGTACGATCAATTTTAAACTCCATACACAACCGCCACCGAACTTAAATCGCGTCCGTATCAAGTGAGGCAGTTTACACTATGTGGAACCAGCAATAGGCATTTAAGTATTTCTGAACCGGCAAAAAAGGGGAAAAATTCTTAAAGGGCCGACAACGCACTCGCGTGCCCTCTGGCATTGAGTGTCCTGGGTGGTGGTATCACTTAATATTAGCGAGCGGGTATCCTTTTTCCATCAAAAGCGTATCAATTCTTAAAAGGGCGGCAGCGCACTCGCGAGCCCTCTGGCTTTGATTGTCCATGGGCGGCGGTAGCGCTTAGCATTAGGGAGCGGGCTCTCTCTTTCCTTCCAAATAGTATCAATTCTTAAAAGGCCGGCAACGCACTCGCAAGCCCTCTGGCTTCAAGAGTTTCCATGCGCACGGTATCAATTAACATTAGGTCAGGCTCTCGCCCGTTTGCCCCCTTTTTCCTTCAAAAGCGTATTAATCCTTAAACGGCCGGCAACGCACTCACAAGCCTGTCAGCAATGTTAAATGAATATCCGAAATTTTTAATTAAATAAAAACTTTTAGGGTGCCTCAATTCCTGGTCTTCAGGGGCCTCCCGGTCCACCAGGCCCTGATGATGTATACAGCCATCTTTTGAATGTCGAATTACCGAAGAATGACGTCATAAGTGGTATTTATTTCTTGCAAAACTTTAAATTTTTTATGAATTATTTAATTGTAAAATTGTTAAAATTAAAAATATATATACTATGTAATAGATTTATTCCTAATAGGATTTTATTTACACAAATACAGTATTTACAATTTTCTTAACCTATAAAGTAATAATAAAAATAATTAAAGAAGAAAGAAGAAAATCAAAACAAATTTAAAAAGTTTGGTCCCTGTGGCAGTGTACCTTTAACGCTGGCAGCATTTCCTCGCTGTATTGCGAGACTTATTCTTTGAGCCAGGAAAGTGCCAGCTCTGTGGTCACCGGTACTATCTACCAGGCGCCAACTTAAATCTTTAATAAGCGCCTGTGCACTTGAACCCCACGGCCCAAGAGTCTCTACTCCAAAGAGAACAAAATTGAAGTTGGAGGAAAGACTCTTATATTTGTGCCGTTTGTTAATTTCTGCCTGTTCTGCGGCCGCGCCAGCTTTAGCTTTAGCTTTACTATGTAATTATATCTGTGGTCATACATTCATTCATATATCGAGTGTTTCATATTTTAATAGTGCCTTCAAGATTTCTTAATAATATTAAACTTCTGAGATTGAGATTCTACAGCATGAAAATAATCAGTGGCGCTACTACTTTTTTAGGTCTGGGCCTCAGATTTCTGTATCTTTTTCATGATCATTTGCCTAAGAGGCAAGTAGGTGATCAGTCTCCGGTGCTTGATACACGCCGTCGACTCTTTGCGTCTAAGGCAAGCCGGTCACACGATGCTTTCCTTCACCGTTCGAGCGAATGTTAAATGCGTACATAGAAAGAAACTCCATTGGTGCACAGCCGGGGTTCGACCTCAGGGATGAGAGTGCACGCTGAAGCCAACACTGCTACAGCGTTTACTCTCCTCTCCGTTTTAGGGTAGGATTACCTACCTAATCTACAATATACCTATACAGTGAACAAAATATAACACGCATATATAAGAGACCTTAAAACAGCTTTGTAGAGCTGTGGGCTTATGGAGAAATCAAAAACAGAAAAATTTATTGCGATTAATAATTTATAGATGTATCAATGCCTGAACCGGGCAAGACGAATCCCGGTTCCCAGTTGAATCCAGCGAAATCGTGCGCAAACGTTGAATCTGAGGGCGATCCTGGTATGTATTTCTTAGAATCAAAAATTATTTATGCATTTAGGTAACACAATGTACGCTTATGAACGTCAAAAAGAAATATAGATATTAAATGCTTCTAATTTTATATTTACTGCCAGTTCTCAAATCAAGGGCGTAGAACGGACGAGAAGAACTGGAAATAAACTCTCCACTACTCATTTTAATCGCCAAATTTTTTGTGTCAAACAATGTTTGTAAGGTGCTACAACCATTACACCATGTTCCACATGACATCTTAAGTAATGAATAAAAACAAAGATTTGCCCTCTCTCAGCATTAGGCATGGTGACATAGGAGCACGCACTTACAACAACAACACGCAAATACATAGTCGAAATAACTACCATCACCGCATACACGAATTCAAGTTCGACCAGTCACCACAAGTAACACCCGTTCACGAGTATGTCGCATGGCCAGCCATCGGCCCCCTCACCATAGGGAAAGAGACAACCCGACGCATGGACGCCGGATTAAGACATGGGACATTTATTAAAATCATTATAAATTACACACAGTGGAATTGTAAAATAGATCGTAAAACACAAAAAGCTTCGATAGAGCTAACGCGTTCATGTTTTTAGTATGCGGGAAGATGAAACAACCGCTATTTTTTAAAATTAATTAATTGATTTAATGTTTAACGTTAAAAATATATATAAAGACAAGCTATGGGTTTCTACAATAAGTCACAAATCGCACTGGTGCACGGTTCCTGGTTACCTGCGTGCACACATCCGCGCGGAACGTCCAAGACGTGTATTAGTGTTCATGCGAGTGTCGATAATAAGAATTAAGATGTCGAGAAAGTTACTTTTAGATTATAAATATTATGTGAAATTAATAATAAGTATAATATGCAATTTTTTTCAAAATAGTTTACACGAATTTTATTATTCTGTTTATTATTATTTATTCGGTCTAGTTCCAAAAAATCTATTCGATTTCAAATTTTTATTAAATTTTAGAAATAACTTTTCAGATTTACCTATCTGTTTCATGATTATTTGCCGAATAGGCATGTCAGCCTCCTCTGACGTCGAATTTTTGAGTCTAAAGCGGGCCATAGACGGACCGCATGTTGCAGTCAAGACCAACTGCAATATGCGGTTTGCTCAGGAACTGCTCGAGCGGTTGTGTATTGCGAATACGAATTTAGTATGGAAACTGCAGATCGCCGTGCAGCCGCCCGCTTTAGAAAGAAAATCAATTGTTGGACAGCCGGGGATCGAACCTCGCACGCTAAAGCCCCTAGGCCAACACTGCTGACAACTGCAACTTTGTCACATACAGATCAATATTGCTCTTTTGAAGTCGGTTAATTGATTGATGGATTACAGATGGAGATTACTATCTAAACCCCGAAAGCGAGTTTATTGCGAAGTGTGATTTTATAAAACAAAGCACCTGTCTAAGTCTAACGTATGAAGAGCAACCTACACTATGCGACAGGAATCCATGTTGGCTGTTCAAGTCTGGGTTCAATATTGGGAAATTTTATAATAATGTAAGTCAATTAATAATTAATCCAGTGGCGCTTGAATGCTTTCTTAAATCATTTTTCGAAGTTATACTGGCCCGTTAGTGAAAAATGATGACAGAATTTTTACGATGCGCGCGCACACCGTCACAAAAAACCGACATCCGCACATCGTCACAAAAAACCGACGCCAAAGCAGTATAACTTCTAACGCGTGTACATGTGTACCTCCCACACATATTTTATTTTTCAGATAGAAGATAAGTCTGTGCTAATCGATTTTTGGTTTGCCTTAAACCTCTGGCCAACAGTCTTTAAGTTAATATAGATTGTATTTCATCTGGGTTCAATCTCCGTAAAATAACATAGATTTCCGACACAAACAGATTACTTCCATTAAAAAGCCCCTAATATTATTTTTTTATTTAGCCTACCCTTTTAGTAAGCTACATACCAACAAATGGAACATTTTGCTTTGCTACCCCAAAGATACCGTTCGTTTTCCGGACTACTAATAACTAAACTTTTCAATTTTTGAAGTTGCGTTCTTTGGCGACGTTGTACACTTTTTTAGAATAGGTAAACAATGTTAAACTCGCGTCAGGGCAAATTCGTAAGACGGATGCTTTTTTAAAGGATTATGAACCTTCGTATTATATAGTTACGGTTTTAATTCATTTGTCTCTTTCCTCAAATACATTGATGCATGTGGAATTGGACCTTAAGTCAATTCATCAAGGTTTAATTTTGCGAAACGTCTAAAGCTTTATTATTAACGATTTGGTCAGACTGACGGATGGAGAGTAGACAGCTGGCGTATTTAACGTAATATAAATTGTCATGTTTGTGTAAGATAGCGCAATAAATAAATATTGTATTCTACCACATGATAGTACTTTTATACTGATAATTAAAGCAATTCGTGCAAAATTATTCACTAACTATTCCAAAATATCAAAAATGCATAACGTTTATATTCAAGTTTTCACTTCTGCCGGCACTCCCGGAGTGCAACCCGTCGTTTTTTTTTTCATTAAAAACCTTCCTAGAGTTTCAGAATTGATGCGCAAAACTCGAAGACAGCTGGTTTTGCGCTTAGCAAATAATTTTGCTATTCATTTTATTTGTACAGTTAGATATCTAGGCTATGCATGACAGTATTTATTTTTTCCCTTTAACATTATCACAATTTATTGAACAATTCTCGTATATCCCTCATTGTTAAGCCAGCATTTGTAAGAAACGGTCGATAATATTTAGAGAAAAAAATATTTTTTGAAGTTAAACTTCTTGAGCATGAGGGTAAATTTTCTACGGATGAAACACCATAATAATATTAGCTTCACGAAGATGTGCAGCGTTTTTGTCGAAGAAAACGGAGAAACCGACTGAGACCGATTGAGAGAGAGTGAGAAAGGGCGAACGGAGCAAGAAGCTAATAGCCGTGGAGCAAAATTATAATTTGTATTAATTTTCGACACTTTATTTTAATGACAATTAAATTAGTTAAATTCCTAACATATCTTCCTTTTTCCCTCCCTCTAAGTTTCGGAAATCTAAAGTTTTAGATTTGTATAAATATGAACGAGACTTAAAAATTAGTTTGCTAAAGAAGTTTTACTTCTGACGTGTGAACTATGCACGCACGCACTTTTATTTTTCTTAAAGTAGTCGTATAGCCTATGACACTCAAGAAATGCATTTATTGGTAAAAAAAAATCATAATCAATCAGTAGACCCAGAGATCCATACAACGTCACAAACTGTTTGAATGAGTATTTTTAGTCTACTTGTACATGAAGATTAACTTTTTCTATATTTTTCAGCAATTACACAATATAAAATATCTAAGCACCTTAAACGGAACGACACATTCCACTCACACGTTTTCCATTGTTTGCAAATACCTGACATTGAGCGAAGATTCCAATTTGCAAATACAATTATATCACATGCTGTTAATTGGACCTGAAGCGTCGGACGCGACGCCATTGTATTATAAAGTCCATAGTGACGATTGCGTAAGTACCTTTTATTACAGCGTAGGTACTAATAAAATAAAAAAAATAAAAAATCAGTGGCGGTGGTACAACCTCTTTAGGTCTTGGCCTCAGATTTCTGAATCTGTTTCATGATCATTTTTACATCTAATAGGCAAGTAGGTGATCAGCCTCCAGTGCCTGACACATGCCGTCGAATTTTGTGTCTAAGACATGTCGGTTTCCTCACGATGTTTTCCTTCACCGTTCGAGCAAATGTTAAATGCGCACATAGAAAGAAAGTCCATTGGTGCACAGCCGGGGATCGAACCTACGACCTCAGGTATGAGAGGCGCACGCTGAAGCCACTAGGCCAACACTGCTCTTCGTAGGTACTAATAGTGATTTCAAAATTTAGAAATAAATACTAAATAAAACATATATAATTAATGGTCTTAATAATTTATCTAAAACTTCTAAGCCGATTTTAAATTTTATGCCACCAATATAAATTTACAAATAACACGCTAATACCTTAATTAATAATGTAAAAGCGGAAAAAATATCGTGAACGATCTCAGGAACTACGTAGTTCCTAAGATATAGATAGACGGTGCGTGTTCACATTGAAAAATTTCTTATCCGCCGCATATACTATTTATTGAGGCAGGCTATATTCCTAGGAATAAACGTACCTAGACCTGAAGTTACAGGCACAGTTAACTAGTTCAATAGGAAACTGTAGAAGCGCCATCTAGTATCATTTTATTACTATGTATAGAACATAAAGTTTACTTTGAAGCTTTAAGCTTTTATGCCTAGATGACGCTATTTTAGAAATACAACAGTTTATTTAAATTAATTTTGGTTATACGAGACTAAACTTATTTTTGAGACTGAATTTATTTAAAAATATTATTTATAATTATTTTCAGACTTCAGAGAATGACGAGGGATCTGCTGAAATAGTATTAACAATAAACGGTCCGTTCTTACCAATCACGGACTTTTATATAAGAGATTTTAATGAAGAATCTGAACTTATATTTGAAAGAACTCAAGTCTGTTTTTATCATAAATAAACGTACAATAAATTTGTTATTTGTGTGAAGAAAATAAATTTATTAATGTGTCCAAATTTATTTCTGTAATTTTAATTAAGTACATTTTTTAAGTAATTTTCTATACAGACCTATAGGTACTTTATATTATATGCACATATTTTTAAATCCGTTTTCGATACTACAAGGGTAGCCTCGACTGATGAGCTGATAGCAGCGAGGCAGAAAAATGATCAATGCTCCTGACGGTATTGTGGGTTGTCCCCACGGGAGTAAGTCCGAAGGAAGTTTAAGGAATTACATTTTTTGACTTTGGCAAGTCAATACATTTATGAGAATATTTTGTATGTGCGGAAAAATATAGATATCTGTAAAAAGAATAGTAACTTCCATAATTATAATACTCGTAATAAAGACAAAATAAGCGCACCACCCACAAGGCTGCATAAAACGAGTAATTCTTTCCAAGGCAATTGTATACGTTTTTTCAACAAAATCCCTAGTGAGACACAAGTGTTGTTAAAATAAAATAAATAGTAACTGTTAATAATTAAAATTAACATTGGTAAGATTTTTGTAAATCCGTATTTTATTTAATTTGGTATCGAAAAAATACTACTCGCGATAGCAGTTAAAAGCCAACTAAAGTGTCTAGCGAAATGGAATACGCGGAGAAAAAGCGGGTGTGAGAGACAACAAACTGAACAAAACGCGGGCATAGATAGTCCGTGGCAGCGTTGCCAGATTTCTTTTTAGTCAAGTCGGGATTTTGGCACTTTTAAAATGAAAAAAGCGGGATTCATTTGTCGAAAGCGGGACATAGTAAAAAAAATTAAATAATCAGAAGTTTTTAAATATTTATGTTTTTATTTGAGTTCAAATCACGTTTGCGTGACAATAGACAGCTAAAATAGTCACAGAAAATGTATTTAAATCAGATTAAACCTATCGTTAAATAGTTCTTATTTTTTCTTCTGAAAAAACAAAAAAATCTAAATAAAAAAAGTTTTATTTATTAGAAAAATATAGCGTTTCAAACAATACTCTGAAGAGTGAGTGTTTCAAATTGCAACTTACAATAAGACAGTAATTATTTATAAGAATTACTTATTCATAATATTTCTATGAAGATATAACTTCTGTAAAAGTTTCATTTTTCTCTTTAAAAAAGACGAAGAACTCTTCACATGATAGCTGCAGATTAATCTTGATGAGTACTGATTTCATCTGATTTCATTAAATTTTTCATAAAGAAGGCGTTTTGGAAAGCAGTTTGATGGTAGGATACTTACTATAAAGTTTGAAGATAATCCTGGTATTTTTTTGGATACTGTTGAAAGAGTTGGTACCATTATTGTGCGGTGGTGGTAGTACACACCTCTTATTGCTATCGAGTTATTCCCGAAAAGCGGGACTAAGCCTGTCCCGCGCGGGACATTTCATTTTGATTTAAAAATCGGGACGTCCCGGTTTTGGCGGCAACGCTGGTCCGTGGCTCGTTGGCAACGAACTAGAACAAACAAGATACGCGTTTACATTACTAGCGCGAAATTTGAAAAGTATTGTTGTATCGGCAAATAAAATATAGCCGATGCTGACATATCGGCAAACCCAAAGTATCGCCGATATATCGGTATCGGTATCGGATGCATCCCTAATAATAACCATATTAAAATATTTGGTTTAAAGACAATAAATAACATTCTGCGGCTTCAAACACTGCGATGTTATTAAACGCGCTTACGAAGTTATTCCGACCGTTACGATATATTCAACTACTTTGAATTGGGCCAGACAGTGGTTGGTCTGGTCGAGGATCCTACCCTTAGGTTGCAGGAACTGTTCACCATCCTTCCTCCACAAGACTGTTCAATTCGGGCCGTTATCATCGCTGCCGAAAACAAAACGTAAGCGTATAGGTATGATTTAACATTACACCTTCTAATATTATCTAACTACGTTAGAGGAGGTTAATGTATAACAGGATTTTTTAAATTATATTTTACGTATATATTTTGTAAAGTAATAAATAGTAAATTTAAGTATCCCTCTCACTATAAAATCGATTTTTGTTTAGTTTTTTTTGTAATTTGAACTTTTTTTATTAGTAATTGTTTTTTTTTTGTAATGTTTGTTTTGTTTAATAATTGGTTTGATATTTGTATGATCTCTACATGTATGTCATATTTCCCTTTAAGTGCTTGTCATATTAAAAATTGTATTTGGTGTTTGTTTTAACTAATGTGTCAGTGTGCCGAGCGTTGGCAAGCTTTTTATCAATAAAAAAAAAGTTTTTCACTTTCTATAAAGTAATTAGATTTTTTAAACTTTTTAACTGTAGGTAAACGTTCAGTAGCTGTTGAATGTTTTGTCGTCTGTAAAGTCATAAATCGGTTAATTCATATCACATGGTTCATAGAACATATTTTTTGCGAAAAGCAAACCATTATGTACACGCCGTAATATTATTATAATTTTGCGGTTTTTTATCAAAATTCAGTTGACCAACGGGATAAACCCGCGTCATAATCATTCGAACAGGATAACGAATAGTTATTTTTATACATACAATGCTTTTTAGAGTAAATTAACAATGGTTATTGTTCGGACGTTTGTGTTTTTAGTGTGTTTTTATGTAATATGTGGAGATGGTAAGTTAATAAGTTAATATGTCTCGGAATATAACGCTAATGCTGCTATATATAAATGTAATTATTGGGTTTTGTGGTTACGAATAACTTTAAGCGTAACTTGACAAATCAATGGCTAGACATTTACGTCGATATTTCGTACAATCTATTATATATAAAAATGAAACCCGTTTTCCGTTGTCACGACATAACATGAAAACGGCTTGACCGATTTGTCTGATTTTTTTTAGTAATATTCCTTGAAGTACGAGGAGAAAAATTAAAAAAATTGAGTGAAAAAGTCTAAAAACAACACTTTTCTATATTCCCATACAAAATATTCGTAATAATACTTAAAAGTCAATTTGAACTTTAATACCATTTCATAAAGTTCAAGTATTAGTGGAGGGGTTCCGGGAAGGTAAATTTTAATTTTTTGACATAATGTATTTGTTGTCTTATCAACTTCCTTTTTTTATCTTACTAGCAGAATAAGTATTTAAAAAAAAAAAAAGAATCGACTGTTAGGCGGTACGATGTTCGCCAGGCCAGCTAGTAGGTTATAAAAACGTTATCAGATTACTGTTTTAATGTACTTAAGAACCTAAAAAGACTACAAAAAACAATCATATAAAAAAAATACATGTACAAACTGACTACATAATGTGTATGTTCTCTACAAAAATGTGTTGACTCATATCTATCAAATAAAATATGTCAAAAATTAAGAAGGTTTTCCAACAACAAGAATATACCTATCGAAATCTTTTTGACTGAAATCAATGTGTAAGTCATTTCAGTTTCCAAAATTTGAGGACACGAAAATTCGTGCTTGGAAAAACAGATCAACATAATCAAATTTGATGCAATTTCCCATACAGACAGATAAAATAGTTAACCAGTTTCTTTAAATCGGTTAATAAAGTAGTATATTTGAATTTTTTTCTGTGATACTTCCGATATAAGATTGATATATGTGGTGTTTATATATATATAAAGGAATATTATTATGGATTTTTTCTAAATGAAAACACAAAATTGTTTCTCTGAAATACAAAGAAACGACATTTAATGTCCACTTATCTATCTTTTTACACTATAATCCACTAAATTAATTTACACGTCATCCGCCATTTTATCGCGTGTCACTCCGACGCGTCAAATTCAAATTAATGAAATATCATTCCATTACATCTCCCCCCCTAAGAGAAAAAATTCTGAATAATATATCTACACACTATACTTAATAGCTATCTTCATATTCGTTTTCCTTATATTTCATCTTCTTCAGATTCTGTTGTAACCGGTTGTAATTTTGTTATGTGGAACAAAGTTGATTCTGTTTTTCTGTTACCAGTGTCAATCCTATAAATGGAGTTCGATATTTTCCCTACTATCTTAAAAGGACCTATTTTTAATTCGTCTAATTTCTTTCTATTCAGTCTATTTCCATTCTCAACATATACACTGTCGCCTATATTAAACTCTTGCATTTTTCTTTTTCTATCAAATATTTTCTTATTGTACTTGTGGGATTTTATTGTATTTTCTAATGCCAATCTTTTATCAGCAATCCACTTGTCTTCTCCTTCTATTATTTTTAATTCATTTGGTAGAATGCTGACATTTGTACCATCCAGTAAATATTTTGGTGCAAAACCTGTAACGGAGTGTTCTGTTTCATTATATTTCTCTACACATTCTCTTGCCACTGTTGTCCATGTTCTCTTATTATTTTTCTCATTTATTCTACATCTTATTTTATTAACTATTGTTTGATTTAACCTTTCATTCAAGCCATTTGAGAATGGTGTATTCACAGCTGTAAAAATTAATTTAACATTATTTTCATGTAGATATTGCTTAAATTCTCTTGAATTGATGCCTGGATATTGATCTGTCAAAATTATTCCAATCTCATCTGTTTCTAGTACATTCTTTGTTAGTTTTATAAAATCACTTGCATTCTGTGTTTTTGACGTCACAATAAATGTATATCTTGTATAATGGTCTACTAAAAGGTGTAGGTACTTTTTTGTTGATCTAGATCCTCCAAAGCCACCTATAGTATCCATTGACATTATCTCAAATGGTTTTGTTGCTGGTCCCAGTTGTGACATTAATCCAAATTTTCCTTGACCTCTTGATTTATTTTTTATGCATATTTCACATGTTTTACAAATATTTATGATATTCTTTGTTAGGTTTTTAGCTGTGTATATTGGACTTATTTTTTCTGCAATTGTCTGATCCCAATATGGCATAAATCTTCATGCACCTTTTTGATAAGTTTCTTACTAAATTCTTCTGAGAGGATAATCTTTTCATGTTTCTTTATTTTCTTATAATATATTGTATTTTTTTGTATTAGATTTTCTTTATTTTCTTCTATTGTTTCATTTCGCTCTTGATCTTCAACTATATCCTTTATTTGTATTAAATTAACTATTTTCAATAATTCCTCTTTGTTATCTTCTGATTCTAATACAGGATTTCGGCTTAAACAGTCTGCTTCTACATTTTCTTTACCAGGTATATATTTTACCGTAAAGTCGTATTGAGACAGGTAGTATGTGAGATCACCCAATTCTTCGTCTGTCCTGCATTTAATGTTCATGTTTTCTAAAGGTTTGTGGTCTGAGTAAATAGTGAATTGTTTTCCAATGAGCCAGTGTTGCCAGTATTTGACTGCTTCTTTCATAGCAAAACATTCTAAGTATATAGCTTTTTTCCGTTTTTGAGATTCATTCAGTTTTTTTGAAAAATATGCTACTGGTTTGTCATTACCGTCCAGTTGTGTTTGTTTTAATATTGCTCCGATACCCTCTAAGGATGCATCTGTAAAGATTTTTATTGGTAAGTCTTTGTCATATATTTCCAATACCGGTTGAGAACATAAATATCTCTTTATTTGATTAAATGATTCTTCACACTTCTCTGACCACACAAACTTTTCGTTTTTTCTTAATAATTTTATTTTTATAAGAATATATATTCTTTGTTATAGTTGAGTTTTTCTTGAAAATCATACATTCATATTTTCTTATCTCGTTGAACAAATCAGTAGTGTTGTTGAGTTCGTCCCTGTTTAACTTATTCAAGATAAAACTAGGTAAACCAGTTGCAATTAGATCTATCATTGTTCTGGAATCTATCGATTTATTTATATCTAGTATAAGCCGTTCTTTTTTTATAGCATAATCAATTAACAGCCCTTCTTTATACTTGAATGTGAAAGCAGTTGTGACTACATCCCACCCTTGGTTCCTAAAAGTTTCTAAAAATTTGTCTTTCCATTCATTCCATTCAGAATTTACTGATAGTTTAATTACCATCGAGCTATACCAATCCAAACTGGAGTTTTCTAAAAATAATCTCAATATATCTATTTTTGTTTCATCTTTTGTTATATTAAAACGCTCACACTCTTTTTCAAAATTCTCTATCCATTGCACTGCATTAGGATTCTTACTTGTGAATTTTTCGATAATAAATTTCTCTGAAACATGTTTTAAATTATGTTGATTTTCTTTTTTTGTTGTAGATTCTATTAATTTTTCCAGGATATGTTGCAAATTATCATCATTGCCTCTTGGTTGTTTTGTGCTCATTTCCTCTAAATATTGATCTAAAAATTGCATATTACCTTCCTCATCTATATATGTTTTCTTTAGATCTTCATCTAATTTTACCCATATCTTTCTGCTTTGGTGCCTTTTCTTTATACTATTTTTTATTTTTGAAAAAGTGTTCAATTTAACTATATATGTATGATGAATCACCGGCTTCAATTCATCAGGTAAAACATAACATTTTCCTTCTTCTGTCAATATTGAAGTTATGGCCAATATATTAGATTTGCCATCGATTGAGGCCATCATCGTGAACTCAAATTGCAGCCGGTCCATCTTCTTTTAGTTAACAAAAATGTCGTTTTATAAAGGAATATTATTATGGATTTTTTCTAAATGAAAACACAAAATTGTTTCTCTGAAATACAAAGAAACGACATTTAATGTCCACTTATCTATCTTTTTACACTATAATCCACTAAATTAATTTACACGTCATCCGCCATTTTATCGCGTGTCACTCCGACGCGTCAAATTCAAATTAATGAAATATCATTCCATTACATATATATAATAAAAGTAAATGTTTTAATTTCCAGCCGCTGAATTCAGAACACCGCTTAATGTAAGTAAATTATATGTCTCACTATTCTAAATTATAAATATAAAAGAAGGTTTTGGTACTCTATATATTCGTTTGTAACAATACCAAAAACTATAAAATTTCAAATTATCATACAATCTTTGTGTATAGTATTTAATACGTAAGCTGAGCATTTACCAGAAGAGCACACTAGATCAGATAGAAACCCGAGTTCCCAGGTTTTGTACCCCAATTTTTTTTTTCAAAATGTATTAATAATTGCCATTAAATAGCCTATGCTCTGCTGAAAGAAAGAGAAGAGTTCTACGCTAAGCTTTTATTATAACCAACTGTAAACTGTGGAGTTCGTCTGTATATGCATCATAGTTTTTTTTAAATGTAGTAAAATGTGAGAAAAATAAAAAAGGTTTTTTCTCACTCTTATTTTTTATAACTAAAACATTATTATTCTACTTAAATTACAGGGAACTATTTCGTTTGTATCTGTTGTTTTATTGAGACCTTATTTTTCGAAATTCAAAAGAAATGCTCGGCAGTGATCAAAATGACAGCATTCTACGCGTTAAAAAAATCATTTTCTGGATTTAAACGTCCAGAACTCGTTCTAAAAACTATCAGAAACTATAGAACGATTGTCTGTGCGACCAGAACTCAATTTTTTGTGATCTGCTATGTTCATTGAAACTAACTAAATCTGTAGAAAATAAATAAATGTTGAAGATTTTAGATAGCAAACTAGTAGCTCGCGAGAAAACGTAGCCCGAAACTCTTACAACTGAGCTATATTGTACGGTGTGAGATTGGTTCTATCGTATAGGGAATTAAGTATAGTATAGGATAAATCTCTTGTAAAGAAAACACTTTTTTACCGGATTGAAGTTAAGTATTATTAATAAATTTACAATTATTTTACATAATTTTAATTTTTTCCGACGTTTCGCGTGCTTTACAGCGTGCGTGGTCACGGTAAAAAATTTAAAATTATGTAAAATAATTATAAATTTATAATAATACATAACTTCAATCCGGTAAAAAAGGTGTTTTCTTAAAATGAGTAAAAGTTATGTCAATAAAAGACAGTATTAAATCTCCTGTATTTTGAGATATAATTTTTTTTGTCCCGGTTTCGTACTGATTTGTAATATTTTCAATATAAAAGGATCAACTACATTTTATTCAGTTTTACTTGCAACAGGATGAAAGAGACAAATACTTTTAATATTACAGGAAACTCCAGAGGGGCCTAAAATAGAAGCTGTCTGGGGTATGATACCTATCTAAATATAATTATTTTTTAATCGTGCTGTTAATTATTTTAAACAATATCTCAGATGTACAAAACTACATTGAAAAATCTTTCAATAAAAATAAATAAATTAGTGATGGCTCATTGGTCTAGTGAATAGTACCCCTGACTGCGAATCCATGGGTCCCGGGTTCGATCCCCGGCTGAGACAAACATCGATGTGATGAGCATTTGGTGTTGTGCTTAGGTCTTGGGTGTTTAAATATGTATTTATATGTCTATCTATCTATAATATGTACGTATATCCGTTGCCTAGTACCCATAACACAAGCTTCACCAGCTTAGCATGGGACTAGTCAATTGGTGTGAATTTTCCAATCAAAAAAAAATAAAAAGTGGCGGTACAACCGTTTTAGGTCTGGGCCTCATTCTCTATCTGTTTCATGATCATTTGTTAATCAAATAGGCAAGTAGGTGATCAGCCTGACGCACGCCGTAGACATTTTGGGTCAAGGCAAGCCGATTTCCTCACGGTGTTTTCCTTCACCGTTCGAGCGAATGTTAAATGCGCACATAGAAATAAAGCCCATTGGTGCACAGTCAGGGATTGAAACTACGACCTCAGGGATGAGAGTCGCATGCTGAAGCCTCTAGGCCAACACTTCTCTGCAGTACCGATGTATTTATCAATCCTGCTTCGTTCCGTAAATTCTAATTTAATTAATTTTCTAAAAAAGTTTAATATTTTTGTTTTAGATGAAGAATGCGCAATACGAATAGTAAGTATGGAGTATTAATATATACCGTATACGTAGATAAAAGAAAGTGAAGTCGACGCTACCTTCATATTACTAAAAATTTGAATGTGGGTATGTGAAAAAATAACGAAGATTTTCTTAGCTTCTGAGTTGTCTAACATTTACTTTATGTGCCATTGGTGTTGTAACAAATTACCTAACATAAAATCATTTTTTAGACAGGTTCTGGCTTGAAATGGAAGAGAAAAACCAACGCCTGCTCTGCACCAGGTACGTAATCCTCAGGTACCTTTTGTACTGCAGAATAATTTCTTTATATATAGAAAGATCACTGTTTATGAAATAAGCGTATTTTATGAACCAGATTTAAATAATATTACTTTAAATGAAATAAAAAGTAAGACTACAGATATTAAATATTTAAAATTCTAAAACAGCATGGTATAATGCACATGTACTCTTGATTGCGGTGCTAACTCTCAAAAGAAAACCGCAAAGAGCCTCTATTGTCGTATCTATAACATATATTGTAAAGTCATACAAACGGCACAATGTATAACAAAGTACCTATATAATTCTATATCCAGAATTACGAGGTGAACCCGGATTAAGAGGGGAATCTGTGCTACCAGGAGGACAGGGTTTAAAAGGAGATCCTGGTGTAAGGGAGAGATTGGTTTAAAAGGAGAGACCTGGCTCTCCTTTAAAACCACATTAAAGAACATACATTATATTATCCTTAATATAATGATATCCTCAACATACTAAATTTAATTAAATTAGAGAATTATCACTAAATAAATTCAAAGCCCTCGTTAAACGAAAATTAATCAACAAAGCTTTTTTATAAATTTGAGGACTACTTAAATGATCCTAATCCTTGGGATTGAATTGCTCCAGTTCAAACAATTTGTATGACAATACTTGGCGATTAAAAAGAGTGGCGGAAAGTTTCTTGCCAGTTCTTCTTACCCGCTCTACGCCCTTGACTTGCGAACTGGTAGTAAATGTAAATTTACGATTAATTTAACTTGACGATTCAAAAGTGTACTTGGTTACCTACTTGAATAAAGATATTTTGAGTTTGAGTTTGAGTTTGAGTTAATCTTGCCGTACATTAATGTTTTTTTTATACAATGAATAGTCAAATAACAATATGTTAATCATTTTAATGGGCGGTAACGCACTCGCCAGTCTTCTAGTATTGCGAGTGATGGATACTCGTTTCCTTCATCGTGCGAGAAAAAGTTAGTTGCGCATATAAAGAAAAATCTTTAGGGACACAATCAGAATTCAAACACAGGTTTTTTTTTCGTATCTCGAAAAACTCGCTTTACACCATTGATTATATAGACGGTATATCCACATCTAGGTCAACGAGGAGCACCTGGTATCGTTGGTCCTCCTGGTATTAAAGGTGCGGCGGGATCTCCTGGTATACCAGGGCCTATGGGACAAAAGGGAATACTTGGGGACCAAGGTCCACCAGGAGTGCGGGGACCAAAGGGAGATAAAGGCACACCGGGAGAGACTGGTCAAAAAGGAGAAACGGTATGATTTAAAAAAAAAAACAATATTTAATTAGTCTTTAATATGCCTGTAGAGCCATCTGTTGGTCAAATTATAATCTTATACCTCACTAACATCTCACGTAAAAGTCACAGTAACTTTTTGTGAATTAAGAAAAATCCGATGTTTTTATCTAAATTGCTTATACCTAGGTAACACTGAAAATGTTTAGAAAATGAAAAATGCCTTAATGTAGAAAGTTGCCAATACTTTTATTGTTTTTCGAAGTAATCTCCGTTCCTCTCTACACATCGTCGCATTCGATGGAACCACTGAGAAAAGCAGTGGGCCCATTCTTCCTTAGGGGTCTCTTCTATGGCATTTTCGTACGCTTTCACCGCATCTTCAGGGTTCGTAAAGCGGATACCTCGAATTTTATCTTTAGTTGTGGGTTCGTACTTCGTAGCAATATATGCAGCTTTCATCACATACAGCAATTGAGTCCGCGCCGTTGAACTTATCTAAAATTGGCGACACCAGTCTATGCGAATATATGCTATGTTTCTGGTCGTCGGTAAAGTATGGGGAATCCATCTGGTACAAATCTTCCTGACACCATGTTCGTGTAATATTTTTTGAACTTGACTCATACCAATGCCTAGGATTGCCTATTGGTGCGTTCCACTAAGCTCTCACGACGATCAAAATTCTTCTTTAGCCATTCCACATACCGACCGCGGTCGTTGTGGTCACGGCGAAAACGTCAATCATGACGTCATGACTAATGCTCACGCAAGGCTCACAACGACCCATCTAAAGAGGTGGGTCAAAACTCAAAGTGAACGTTGAGAATAATTCGGCGTAATTTTTGAAATTGTTTTTGAAATATGATATTCAAAGCTTAAAGATGGCGACAAGAAAAATAACATTATATGATTCTGAAAGAGAAATTGTAGTAGAAGCTATCGTTTCTGAAACTGAAGCTGCTCGTGCAGAAAGAGGTAAATATAATTATGCAATATAAGTTTAATACAATTGATTTTAGTTTATATTCAACAGCTATTTATACATTTTTCCTGAATAATGGATAGCATAACCTAACTCAATGTAAACGATATTTATTATCATTAATAATATAAATATATATTTGGTAAATTTCTTTTATTTGTAGATGTAATTTTTGCAACTGACTGTAATATTTACATGAACGCCCGAAACGCTCCATAATCCATTCCACTTGAGTTAACGACAGTAACATTCACAATCAAGTGGAATGGGGAAATCAGCGGTCGTGAGCGTGAGCGTTGTGAACGCTTAGTGGAACGCACCATATATCTACTGATAGGCCACTTTCTTATCTTCCTCCATCATGCGTCGCACAGCACTGAAGCTATCTTCAGTAATCGCTGTTAAAGGACGTCCCTCCCGCGGATCATCACTGAGATTGCTAAGTCCACGCTTAAGCTCGTTAAACCAATTGTAAATAGTGGCACGAGATGGGGCTTCATTAAAAAATGCTAATCGCAGCCTATCATAGCTTTGCTGTGGAGTAAGCCCACAACGAAAGTCATAATAAATGATTGACCGAAAATTTTCTCGCGTTAGGTTCATTTTCACGTGTAACAAGAGTTTTAGATTTGCCGCCAATTCACAAAAACAAATTACCAATCAATGCAATATACTACATTAGGTTACCAAAGAGTTCTAAAATTGAAATTCAAAAAAGTTTCCATTAGCAATGTTTCTGACTGGCCAGTTCTAAACATTTTCAGTGTTACCCACGTATTCGTAGCACTTATATTTTACCTGAATAATATTAATAATTTCATCAATTGCCAAATAGTTTATCATTTTTCATAGATTTTGATGCTATTTGAGTCTAGCTCTGAAATATGTTAACGCCCAGTTATAAAACTTTTATTACTAAAAACATTTTCAGGGACATGCGATAAGGGGACTTCCCGGTCTTCCTGGAGCCCCGGGCACTGTTCCTGGTCCAACGGACCAATGCAAGGGTACCATTTTTTTTTACTTGGGGAAATGCATTGCGCATTCCCTACCGCGGCGCGACTGCTTAGAGCGGGAGGGTTATGCGGGACTCGCGATTGTGCATACCCACTAAAACCCCAAGGCGCCACCAACATACTTTGTCAACACAATATCGAATAAACGACTTCCATAAAAGCTACAGTGCAAATTATTTTAAACATATTACTGCGTCTGGTTCATTGATAACTATTTACTATGTGGTTTGAATGTCTGTTGACTAATATTATTTAAATTAAATTTTCAGGCGAATATTACTTCCTTAACCCAATAAACAAATTTTTCGCAAAATGTGACATTAAAAGCAACAATGTTTGTGTCAATTTCCTAAATACAAGTCAGAGATGGCATAAAGTCTGCGAAAAAACCTCGCCATGTTGGCTCCTACAGTCAAATTTAAATATGGACGAACTATACGGTAATAATGTGAGTACATTTTTATATAAAACTCTTGGGTAACGTATTTCTAACCAAATTCCTCTGCTTGTATGTTTGGTAGGTGTGAGAATAGATCATAAACAATTTTATACCCCTAAATGATAATAAAAATTTGGCCACACCTCGTTTTTGTTTTTAGATTTTTTTATGGTTTAGTATTAAATATAGTTAGTTCAAGTTTATCGATATTTTAAATAAGTATCAATGTTTATTGGCCATATATTCATGATATTGATTTCCGACATTAGCCAGAACTAACATCTCAAGGCTTTTAGGGGTTACCAATGGGACCGACAAGAAAATTGCTCAAATAAAATTCCTCTTCTCTCCTATCCTTCTACCTAACCTTATGTCAGTTCACGAATTTATATAGTTTTATATCTTTAATGTATTACCGAATATTATGTATTCTTGTGTGCGAAGGACGCTAAATTAAAACATCTTCTGGTTGGTCAATGCTACCTTGATTTGGTCCTGTCACAATGCACAATGGGTTAATTTGTTCGTTTATTTTCATAACGAAACTATCATTCTTCCAAAAGGATTCACACACGCAAAGACAAAGATTGCTTTGTGTGTGCATATACTTATTTAATATAAACATATATTTATTACAGATGTATGCCAATATTGAGTATTTAAGCAAATTCCCGACGTTAGATTATAACACGCAAACAATTCAAATTGACTGCAAATACGTTAGCATAGAGAACATGAGAATTTTACTCCTACACAGCCTCAAAATTGGAACGGAAGCTACAGATCAAACATCGGTGTATTATGAAATTATTAATACCACTTGTAATGTGAGTATTAAAACTTATTTAAATATACTATTATTTTAAAAAACATGGAACTTTAACGCGAATACTTTAAGAAATAAAACGAAAGCAACTACTAACTAAATGGGGTTAGTATAGCATTTATTAAGCTAATCTAAAATACATTCTAATCATTACGCAGGCGCAGAAGGCTCACCTACTTGTCTAATTAAACAATTATCAATGAAACATACAGAAACCCATTGCTATCTTCTGTCCCATGTTTCTCTTTAATATTTATTGATAGGTTTGGATTCGAAAACTTGCGAGGTCTTTAGTGATTGGTATAATGACTGATATTTACCAACTAAATGATAATTCTAAATTTATTCGTACCAACAGTCTATCTAAACTTTGCTTGAAATATGGAGCAATATTGCGTAAATGCTGTTTGCATTATATTAAATTTTATTTGTTTCTATTATTATCTATGCCGATAAAATATTATTGGTTATTGTTTTACGAGTAATAAATAAATATATTTTTTTAATTTATCATTGATAATACAAATATTCTAAAATAATATATCTATTCATAGACTGAGTAGCTATGAATTTTGTTATGAGAATAGACTACAGTATTCTCCAAATCAATCTACGGAATTGATATACCGTTTTTTAATATAACGCCTGTCAAAATCATTAAGCAATATTTTGCGCTGAGTACTTTGCCTAGTTGAAAAACTAAGTTGTAACAAAAATATACCAATTGTTCTTGTTATTCTAACATTACTCAGATGCGTCAATTTACTTATCGGAAATGGCAGATAAGTAATCAAATAAAAATAATAGACCAAGTTTAATGTTGACCTAATAAATTTAATTAAAAAATTTATATAAATTGTTTTTTTTTTCAGAAAGACACCGAGGCTGGTAAAGCTGAATTACAAATAAGATTAGCTGGACCATTTTTGCCAATAACTGACCTTTACATCGCGGATAGTACAAATCATTCGGAACTATCTATTAAAGTCACTAAAGTCTGCTTCTACTACAAACTTAAGTAAATGATTTAACATTGTTTTATTTAAAAAAAACAACAAATCTCTATAAACTGCCTGTATAACGCATATAACCCTGTGTTTAGAGGATTGCTTCCCGAAGCATGATTGGAAAGACGACAAACCAGACGCAGAAATGTTTAAAACACAATTTCATGTAAGACTTAAAATATAACAAATAATAATAATTTATTTGCAAGAATATGGTACAAAAATGTTACGGTGGTACATTCTAAAGTTCGCATATTCTGCCACACGTAATGGCGTGCAAATTTGTCTTAAAATTAATTTTACACAGAAGTTACATACATTATGAGACATAATGTCAATGTCATTGTCATTCAGTGCTACTTGTGGTGACTGGTCGGACTTGAATTCGTGTATGCGGTGATGTTAGTTATTTCGATAATGTAAGTGAGTGCTCTTATTTAACCATGCCTCCTGCTGATAGAGGACAAATCTTCGTTTATAATTTATTTTATTATTATTAATTAACTATTAAATACTTAAGAAGTCATATGGAACATGGTGTAATGGTTGCAGATCCTTACAACATTGTGTGAAACAAAAATTTGACGATTAAAAAGAGTGGCGGAGAGTTCTTCTCTTCCGTTCTACGCCCTTGATTTGAGAACTGGCACTAAATGTAAAATTAGAAGCATTTAATAATATTTATTTTTTGACGTTCATAAGTGTACATTATGTTATCTATGAATAAATGGGTTTAACTTTGACATACCTTTATAGTCAATTTTTATATTATTTGCAATGATAAAATATCACATTATTAAAATATATTATAACGTTATCAAAATTCATGCCTCTTAGGAAATAGGTACTGTTTTTATAGGTAAGTTATAACTTTAAACTTAAGAATTTCCAAGTTTAAGAGCTACCGGCTAATATGAATATTTAAGTGTTTGTTCAAAGTTAAGCGTAAACCCTAAGTGTAAAGTCTAGACTATAAACATGTAAGTATTCTTTGTAACCCGTTAGTGTACACCATACTTATACATTACTATGTGTTCTACATATTATATACCTTGAATTGCGCTATCAAAGTGTTTTCATTGAGCATAATATATAATATGTCGCAGCCAAATAGCTTAATAAGCCGTTCAATTAACAGCCTAGCCTTTGAACTAAACGGCGCCTTAAGAATGGAAGCTTCCCACTCTCTCTCAATAGGTCTCAATACCTCTCTCCCTTTTCTTCGACAAAAACGCTGCACATCTTCGTGACGTTCCGTAAAAAAATTTAACCTCATGCGCCTAAAGAAGTTTCACTTCAAAAAGTAGTACATAGTTTTTTCTCTACCATCCTTTCCTTTGAGTCATTCAAAATATATCAACACAGAACGCAAAATGACTCAGCCATTAAATGTGGTATTTTAACGAAACTTCCGCTGTAACAAAAAATACAATTTAATAATGAACTTTGCATTTGTCTCATTAAAATTGTTACCATATTCTTAAAATCGGTGACTTAATCAAGAAAATATTTATAACAGCTAGTATTGTCTTTGATTTACATAACCTTTACACATTTAAAGAAAAAACTGTTTAACCGGATTGAAGTTATGTATTATTATAAATTTACAACTATTTAACATAATTTTAAATTTATCCGACGTTTCGCGTGCTTTACAGCGTGCGTGGTCACGGTGACTGAAGACAAAAGATGTTGGATGTCAAAAAGTATCACAGCTGTAGAGAAACTTGCCTTATCTGTATTTATTACCCCGGAGTTGGTATCGACTAAAAGATGGAGGGTTTTGGCAAAAATGGCTCACGGTGTCCTCTATTTTCGCGGATTGTTTTTCTTGAGATTTTAATTTGGATATTATTAGATCCCAGGTGTTTGACAATTTTAGGCCGTCTTCTCTATTGAAATTGGGGTGTTTTTTGATTTCAATGGCTTCGCGTACCAATCTTGGGAAGAATCTTTTTTCTTTCGCAAGTACTTTCGGTTGTTCAAAGCGTATGTAGTGATTAGTGAAGTTATGTATTATTTATAATAATACATAACTTCAATCCGGTTAAACAGTTTTTTCTTTAAATTTATAACAGCTAACCTACATTTTTATTGAAGAATTAATACCTATATATTATTCTGTATACACAATATTACCTCTAGTATCAGAATTATTGCATATATCAGAAAACACAAGCCGCACATATACTGGTGCGGCTTGTGAAACGGCTGAAAAAGCTAAAGCATGCAATTACGGTTTTGAGACCCTTGGTCCTAGCGCTATAAGGTTTTTTAAGGAATAGCAAAAAGGTTAGTCGACATCACAGGAGACCGAAGCAGCTACCTCGGACAAAGAATTAGTGTAGCTATTTTAAGAGGAAACGCTGCCAGTATCTTCGGAACATTTCCTAAAGGGACACCTTTTAATTATATATTTTAGTTATTATATTTTAAAGCTAGTTATTGTTTTTTGTTAAATTAAGTTGTGTTAGCTGTAGTTGTATGACTAATTTTATATCAGAAAATATCAAAAAAGTTGCGGCAAAAGCCTTTTCCTGATTTTGTAAAAAAACAAGTCTAAAGTTCCTGGTTTCAAAGTTCGTCATCTCCTTCGGTCCCGGATAAAGATTTCGGTTTGATATAGGTTAATAATATAGCGCAAAAATTATTAAAACAACAGTGGAAATTAAAAAAAAAAAAAAAAAAAGTGCAGGCCGCTTCTCGAGACATACGCCGTTCCCTTGCCACCGTCAACGTGCCAAGTCTACTTGAGCCGAGTGGTATTGCAAGAGACGATGGCAAGAGACCGGACGGTATGAGTTTGATTCCATGGAAGATGGGCCGGGTACTGGTATGGGATGCAACCTGTACAGACACGCTGGCACCTTCCCATCTACATGGAACCAACTACAGAGCTGGTGCGGCTTGTGAAGTGGCTGAAAAAAATAAAGCATGCAAGTACAGGGGTCTAGGCTCAGAATATGATTTTGTCCCATTCGGTGTCGAGACGGACCAAGGGTCCGTGGGGTCCTAGCGCTTTAAGGCTTTTTAAAGAAATTTCAAAAAGGTTAGTCGACATCACAGGAGACCGAAGATCTGGCAGCTACCTCGGACAAAGAATTAGTCTAGCAATTCAAAGGGGGAACGCTGCCAGTATCTTCGGAACCTTGCCTAAAGGGACTCCTTTTAATAATATATTTAAGTTTATGTTAAGTTTAGTTATTTATTTCAATGTATATTATTTTATTATTATATAAGTGATATTTTAAAGTTGTATTTGAACCTGTATCTAATATATTTGTTCATACATACATACAATTTTAACATATGTTTAATTATATTAGTCTTATTTTATTAATGTTCATTTAATACAATAAACTCGTACATCTAGAATCAAACAAAAATAACAATAAAATGTAATTATACACTAACACACGGCAGGCTTTATTCTTCACAATGATTACTAACTAATAGAATACATAATACGTAAATATAAAATCACTTATTAATAAAATTTTGGATATAACACTGCGAAACTGTGAGTCAGAGAGGTCTTTAGTTGACGTAGATTAGTTTATCGTAAGAAAGTTTATTACGCAATATCGTATTGAACGAGTAAATCAAAAGTCAGATTCGAAGAGAGAGCTTTCCTAAGACGACAAAATTAAGCACCAGAAACTGAAATTCGTTTTACGAGACCTTACGTAAAACCCAATAAAACTGGGCAATGCGATAAAGCTCATAATTAAAGTAGAACCATTCATAAAGCAATAATCATTAATCTCTTCGAGTTGGGAACTACTTCAGCCGCGGGTTTTCGTTGGAATTTTATTAATATACTCCGCCTTTGTTCTTAATAAGTTAATGCGAATACTTTTCGATCCGACTACAGCCATTGCGTACTCAAAGAGGATAAATATTGGATATATTTCTTTTGAAACGCGTTATTGAGGATAATATTTTAATCGTATCACGAAAAGGAATTTTTGCTACGGTGACGTTAATATAAATTTGGTACATTTTCGAAAATACGGAGCACATAATAACAATAATAAAGCCTTTTTTTTCCATATCCCTACATTTCAAATGTTGTTAGTAGGGAGACCGGGTACAAAAGTAACACTTTGTACTTCACACTTCATTTGTGGCTAGGTTTTAATATTGTCATTAAATTAATATAACCATATATAAATTCAGTTTATGTTCTTTACACTAGCAGCTCGATTTATTTTACTATGGTGTGTTTTATATGAATAACAGAGAGTTTAAAAAAAATCATCAGTTGTTACTTTCGACCACGTAGGCAGGTCGAAAGTAACAAGACGAAGAGGTTGGTAATTAATACAATATTATATGTTTAATCAACAATTATTTATTTAAAAAGTAAAAGTTCTGCATTCTGCATCCATCCACTAGCATTGCCAGCTCCGGCACAACCAACAGGACCCTCAAGAATCATGTGGTCTTGGAATTGTTTAAATGGGAATACGAAAAAGGAGGTATGTGTCCTCCTTGAGCATTAATGGCAACAGCAACAGTTCCTAATCTTCCACGTTCTGAGGTTACTGCACCTACTTGTTTAGTTCCTTTTTGAGCAACAATCTTGCTAGGTTTGTTTGTTATTTGTGTACCCATAGGACTATGTTACTTTTGTACCCTTCCTCATTTTTGTTGAAACATGAAATATAACTTAAAAACGGAACGTGCTAAACAAAAACAAATTTAAACAATGTACAATCAATCTAATAAAAAATAGATATGCAAACATTCAGATTACTACCATCCTTTTACGACTATGTAAACATTAAATAACAAAATATCGAAAAACTTAGTTTTGGTTTGTAAAAACACGTAGTACCCTCTCACACAACCTAACAGTGCGTGGAGTACGCGGCGACTAACTACAAGTGAGGGGGGCACTCTCAGCTATCGCCTGACGGCGGCGAAGCTGTTTTCGCCCATTGGATGAATCTAGAGAGCATTTGTTACTTTCGACCCGCCGTTACTTTTGTACCCGGTCTCCCCTATTTACG